TTATCAGACATTTTAAAATAATAGTTTGTTAAAATAAATTTTAAATTTATTATAAAGCAATAAATATTACAAGAAAACTAGCCAGTCTTTTTTCTTCCAGTACCCACCGCAGCTTTTTAACTGAATCTAGCTGGTCATGGAATAAATCGTGATAAATCGGGATATCGACATGTGGAATCTATAATGTGCATGTAAATCTTTAAAAATTTACGATTATTGAGCATTCTATAGTTTTAGAAGATGAGTATCATGGCGTAGACTAGCGTATTTTTTAAGAGAAAGCGGGCAGTGTACATGTATGTTTTGTAATGTTAATAATAGTATATTTTTATTTTTAGAATGTATTAGATTAAAGGTTATAAGGATTAGTTTAGGCGAAGTCACGGAGTCTTTGGTATTCTTGGACCATTTCTTGGTCTGTTTTGAAGGCTGCTGAGTCGAGGTGGAATATCTCTACATTATCCCAAGTTGAACATCTACTGAGAGCGACATAGGCTTGACCGAGGGAGAAAATTGAAGTATCTAGGGCGAGAGATACTTTCGGTAGGGTCAGGCTTTGGGTTTTGTGAACGGTGAGAGCAAAAGAATTTTGGAGGGGAAATTGAATACGGTGGCAATTATTTCCGTATAATTTGAAGTAATGTGTCTGTTTGTAAATAGTTGTATCAATCAAGGAACCTCTGATCGAAAAGGCAACTTAAACAGATTGGTTTTCGAGGTCGAGGTTGGTAATAATTCCTGTAGTACCGTTGCATATACCTTGATATTTGTTAAATGGATCGTGATGGACTTCTAATCAAAATGAGTTTGGTTCCTTCTCTCCAAGATATTCGTCTAAGCAGAAATATAGGATGGACTATCTGTTTTCGTTTTTGACAACATCGGTAGTGATACTAGATACCATCACATCTATTTCAGTTACGGGTAAATTGTCATATTTCAATTTGAGGCGTTTGATTGAAGTTACGTTAACCTTGAATGAAGGAATATAGGTTAGTTTTTTTTTCCGATTCGGAAAAGAAAAAAAGAGAAAAGAGGGTACCGAGTAATAGGCTAGGCATCTGACAAATTTTCCTTTTAATTGAACTACATCTCCAGTGTCGATTTGTCTATTTGGTGTGGAATGGAGGTGTTCAAAAGAATAAATGCTTTTACTCGTAAGTAGGAGATTATAGTGGGATCTTCTTGGTTCATCTTCACAATCACAATAATTTCCATCACGGTAAAATCTCGGGTGGTTCTTTGGGAGAATTCGTAGATGTAGCAGAATGCGTTCAATTTAGCGGGCATGATTTTTATTTTTTATATTTTATAAAGGAAGATATTATTTTCTTTACTTTTTTACTTTTCTTTTTTTTGTTCTTCGAAAAAAATTGGAAAAAAAAGGATGAAATTTATGAGAAGTATTTTTTTTATTTTTTTATTTATTAATTTTATTATTGTACAAAAATCGAAAATGTAAAGAACAGGAAGTTCTAATCTCTTTTTTTTTATTTTGTTTATAATAAAATTGAATTTTTCTCTATTCGAAAAGAATTTTTTTTCCTATTTGGAGGATATTTCACATTTTTTTTTTGGAGATTGTAGAGTTGTCTTATGAAAATCGGAATTGAAAAATTTTTTTATCGATAGATTTAGAAAGAAAACAGGTTTAGAATCAAAATATTTGAGTTATCAAAGTTATACGATCATTAAAAACCTGTTTTTTTTCGTTCAAAGAGAAAACTATTTATAAAGGGGTTATTCGTTAGGGAGGAGGGTGAGCGCTAATGTGAGAATCATAAATGGATTCAAGATTCGTAAGATAATGCTCTAATCGGAGTCTCTAATCAGTAGAGAGGAGCAATTCATGTAAAAGAGTAACAAAAATAATATCTTCCTTTATAAAATATAAAAAAAATAAAATCATGCCTGCTAAATTGAACGTATTCTGCTACATCTACAAATTCTCCCAAAAACCACCTGAGATTTTACCATAATGGAAATTACTGCGATTGTGAGGATGAACCAAGAAGATCCTACTATAATCTCCTACTTACGAGTAAAAGCATTTGTTCCTTTGAACACCTCCATTCCACACTAAATAGACCAAATCGACACTGGAGATGTAGTTCAATTAAAAGGAAAATTTGTTAGATGCCCGGCCTATTACTCGGTACCCTCTTTTCTCTTTTTTTCTTTTCTGAATCATAAAAAAAAACTAACCCATACTCCTTCATCCAAGGTTAACGCGACTTCAATCAAACGCCTTAAATTGAAATATGACAATTTACCCATAACTGAAATAGATGTGATGGCATCCAGTATCACTACCGATGTTGTCAAAAATGAAAACAGACAGTCCATCTTAGATTTCTGCTTAGACGAATATCTTGGAGAGAAGAAACCAAACTCATTTTAGTTAAAAGTCCGTCACGATCTATCTAACAAATATTAAGGTATATGCAACAGTACCACAGGAATTATTACCAACCTTGACATCAAAAACCAATCCGTTCAAGTTGCCTTTTCGATCAGAGGTTCCTTGATCGATACAACCATTTACAAACAGACACATTACTTTCAACTATATGGAAATAATTGCCACCGTACCCAATTTCTCCTCTAAAATTCTTTTGCTCTCACCGTTCACAAAACCCAAAGCCTGACCTTACCAAAAGTATCCCTCGCCCTAGATACTTCAATTTTCTTCCCGGTCAAGCCTATGTCACTCTCAATAGATATTCAACTTGGGATAATGTAGAGATATCCCACCTCGACTCAGCAGCCTTCAAAACAGACCAAGAAATGGTCTAAGAATACCAAAAACTCTGTGACTTTGCCTAAACTAATCCTCATAACCTTTAACCCTATACATTCTAAAAATAAAAATATATTATTATTAACATTACAAAACACACATATACACTGACTGCTTCCTCTTAAAAAATACGTTAGTCTACACCATGATACTCATCTTCTAAAACTATAGAATGCTCAATAATCGCAAATTTTTAAAGATTTACATGCACATTACAGATTCCACATGTCGATATCCTGATTTATTACGATTTATCCTGTGACCAGCTAAATTCAGTTAAAAAGCTGCGGTGGGTACTGGAAGAAAAAAGACTGGCTAGTTATTGTATTAATTTTTAATTTTAAAAAAAAATTTATATACTGAGCTTTTTTTTAAAAAAATTTTTTTTACACATTATATTATTTTGTGTTCTTTAGAAGTTTGTATTTTGAAACTTGCTTTAAAACTTTATTTTTTTTCCTTAGATTTTGAAATAATAATTAGTTTTTTTACTTTTTACTTTAAAAAAATT